TTGTTTTTACTGAGACTTGGCTGAAGGATGATATTCTCGACTCGGAGCTTACAGACTGCTACAAACTCTATCGTTGTGATCGTAATTCTGCCACTAGCCAATTTCGTCGAGGTGGTGGTGTATTGATAGGTGTCAAAACCGGGCTGATGAGCACATCTGTTACTTTCTCGGAAGACGCTATACTGGAACAAACAGCTGTTTGCATTGAGTTGAAGGACGAAAAGATTTTTCTCTGTACAGTGTACCTGCCTCCTAATTCTGACCCTGCGCTTTACGAAACACACTCCACTTGTGTTCAGCAACTGACATCGCTTGCTAGAGCATGTGATAAGATGATTGTGTTGGGTGATTACAATCTGCCAGGCTTATGCTGGCAATATGACGAGGACATGAACTGCTTCTTGCCGATAAATGCGTCCACGGAGTCTGAATTAGCATTGGTTGAATCTATGTTGCCTACAGGACTGCAGCAGCAGAACCATTTCGTTAATGACAACGATAGGCTACTCGACTTGGTTTTTACCAACAGTTCAGCTTGTGCAGATATGTTTGAACCACCCTTACCGCTGTTGCAAATGGACAGACATCACAAACCGATCGTTTTAAAACTGGATGTTGAGAACAATTTTGTCGAAGAGGAGTCTGAATGCTTTGATTTTCATCGCTTTGACTTCACTGTGTTGAATGGGAAAATTCAGCAAGTTGACTGGGAACAATTATTAAGAACAGATTCAGTGGACGAAGCAGCTGTTCGTTTTTACGGTGAGCTTTTTGGAATCATCCGAACTAGTGTACCGATGAGAAAACGCAGACGGAAACTTCACAAAAACCAGCCATGGTGGAACGCGGACCTTCGGCACCTTCGGAATCGTCTTCGTAAATCTAGGAAACGATACTTTAAACGCAGAAGTGAGTCTCGAAAAACTGAAATGCGTGATACAGAGGCTCAATACAACTCTTTAAACGCAAGATGTTTTCGCGACTACATTCATCGCATCGAGGACAACGTGAAAGCGGACCCGAAATCATTCTGGAATTACGTTAACGACCGAAAATCGACGAAAGGGATTCCTCAGAACATGCGCTACCAAGGAATGACTACCACTACGCAGCAGGAATCAGCGAATATGTTCTCGTCTTACTTTCAAAGTGTGTCAAGTAATAACTCACCACCTTTGTCTGTAACGTACCTGGACAGTATTCCGCAGTATGATGTAAACGTGCCACGGATGAATTTTTCACCAAACGATGTACTGCTCAAGTTGCAATCAATCGACGGTTCAAAAGGCGCTGGGCCTGACCAATTGCCTCCATTTGTCGTTAAACATTGTGCGAATTCTCTAGCGTTACCTGCAAGCATTTTGTTCAACCGTTCACTTAACGAGAAGTGCTTTCCTACGATTTGGAAATCTGCTTCAATCACACCAATTCATAAATCTGGTTCGCTCAACGATGTAGAGAATTATCGTGGGATCTCCATTCTCAGCTGTCTGCCGAAGATCTTCGAGAGCTTGGTGCATGATGTGCTGTACCAGTCTACCAAATGTATAATCTCTACTGAACAACACGGTTTCATGAAAAAGCGCTCGACCACAACGAACCTGCTAAGCTATGTATCGACTCTTGTGAATAGGATGGAAAAACGACAGCTAGTCGACGCTGTATACGTGGACTTTGCCAAAGCTTTTGATAAGGTGCCACACATCCTTGCAGTTGAAAAGTTCAAAAGGATAGGACTTCCTGAGTGGCTGACACAATGGATTCTGTCTTATCTCACAGGGCGCAGTTCTTCGGTGAAAGTCGGTGAGTCCTACTCTGTTCCATTCCAGGTTCATTCCGGAGTGCCTCAAGGCAGTATCTTGGGACCTTTGCTGTTTGTTTTGTTCATTAACGACCTCTGCATGAAGATAAAATCTCCAAAATCCTTGTATGCTGACGACCTCAAGTTTTACCGAGTAATCACGTCGCTGGTAGACTGCTGTGTGCTTCAAACGGATATCGACGGACTTCTGGAATGGTGCAGTTTGAATGGAATGGAAGCCAATATCAAGAAATGTTGCGTGATTACATTCAGTCGTTCACGTACACCGATTGCTTTCGAGTACAGAATGGAAACTTGTTGCTTGAAACGTACGAGCACCGTTAAGGATTTGGGGATTCTCGTTGACAGCAAACTAAGGTTTGTCGAACACATCGCTTCAGTAACAGCCAAAGCGTATTCTCTGCTGGGATTTTTGAAGCGTAACACGAAATTCTTTGAAGATGTGTACAGTCTAAAGACGCTGTATTGCTCACTTGTACGCAGTGTTTTAGAATATGGGGTGCAAGTCTGGGCCCCGTACCATGCAGTTCACATCAATCGGATTGAACGAATTCAAAAGAACTTTGTTCGATATGCTCTTCGAGGCCTTCACTGGAGAGATAAAACGAACCTGCCATCATATGAAAGCCGTTGCATGTTGATTGATCTACCAACACTATCAAGCAGACGAGTATTCCTTCAACGCATGCTCATCTTTGATGTCCTGACAGACCATATCGACTGTGCAGACATACTTGAGAAACTCCGCTTTAACACACCGTTTCGGGTGACGCGGCAACCGGAGTTCTTCCGCCGATCGAATCACCGTACTGACTATGGAATGAACAACCCTCTGGATGTCTGCTGTAATCGTTTCAACGAGGTTTCCAATATGTTTGATTTTGGTATGACTAAAACTGTGTTTAAGCTTAGAATTAGTAGATAAGTTATTTTTGTCTGTACGATGTTTTTATATATCGAAGATTAAATACATAAATACAATCCTACTGGACGAGCAATTTGGATTCCGACGAGGTCACTCGACGGTGGACCAACTCAAGCGGGTCTCAAACCTCATCAATCAGGCGAAGTCGGTCCTGAAGACAACGGTCATGGCGATACTGGACATCGAAAAGGTATTTGATAACGTGTGGCACGATGGCTTGGTGCACAAGCTTCTGCAATTTCGTTTCCCCACCTACCTGTTGAAGATCATCTCAGACTACCTCGACGGCAGGACGTCTCAAGTACGCGTAGGCAGTGCTCTCTCGGAACCGTATGATGTACCCGCTGGTGTCCCTCAAGGAAGCATCCTGGGACCCATATTGTACAATCTGTACACATCGGACATACCGACACTGCCGCAAGGTGGAATACTGTCGCTATTTGCTGACGATTCGGCAATCAGCTACAAGGAACGAGTAATGCGCACTCTCGTATCGAAGCTCCAAAACGGATTGGATGCCCACACCATATATCTCACCGACTGGAAAATATGTGTGAACGCGGCCTAAACGCAAACCATTCCCAAGTAACAATTTTGGTTTTATGAACGTTCTGGAGACCATGATTTAGACTTGTAGCATGCTTTAAAACCTCGATAAAACTTGCAATGTTACTTGCGTTGTGTTTCCGCATAGCAACACCGACCGGCTCAAACCGTCATCAAAGATAAAGGTTCTGAACGCTGAAACTGAGTGGTCACCCGAGGTACGCTACCTTGGCCTGATTCTCGACAGTAAGCTCCTCTTCCGGTCGCTCGTGGAAGACCGAGTCAAAAAAGGCACCATCATGCTGAAACGTCTGTATCCAATCATCAACCGTCGCTCAAAAGCATCCACCGTCAACAAGCTGGCTGTCTACAGGCAGATTGTTGCGCCTATGCTGGAGTATGAGTCTCCGGTATGGAAGGGTTGTGCTAAAACACATCGGAAGAAGCTCCAAGTCCTTCAGAACAAGTTCCTGAAGATGATTCTGAATCTGCCTTCGCGCACACGGATAGCCGACGTTCATCGGCTGGCAAATCTCGATCAAATCGACCAGAGAATGACTGCGCTCGCCAGTAGGCACCAAACTAGGACTCTAAATTCAGAGTACGAAAAAATTAGAAATCTTAACCCATAATTTTTTAAATAGTTGGTTTAGTTAGGATTTAATGTAGTTAGATAGGAAATTAAAAATTTAAAATTTAAAAATTTAAAATAGAACAAATGTTCACACTGTAAAATAATAAATACCAATTAGCAAAAATTTGCCAATGGCTTTCAGTAATTTTAGTAAAGAATGAATAACAAATGTTGATCACTTACATTGTGAAACTATGGTAAAACAAAACAACTGAATAAAAATTAATTTAATGTAAAAAAAAAACTACGACACCATTGCGTACAACCCCATAGGACTGTCTATTGTAGTTTTTTTTTCTTCCAAGATGAGCACCACCGAGTAGATCGGCATTTAATGTTGCTGGATTTCAGTGAAAAACTTGCCGACATTCAGCTAACAAACATAAATTAATACCGAACTGCTCGGTGGTGCCCATCTCGGCAAAAAATCTAAGTGTGTAGTTATAGATCAGCATTTTGTTTTCTTATAGCATGTCTCACAAGAAATTGGGAACGTAATTATGTTTTCAATATCACTAGAATGATCCTTGACATGTCCTCAACATTTTGTTTTCTAATAATGTGAGAATACTCACGCATTGCCCGGAGATCAAAAACCGAATTGGGCACTAAGCGGGTTAAAATAAAGAAAGAACGAAGAACGTTCATTTCCATCATTAAGCTTCTTCATCTTCTTCGCATTTCAAGCTTATTGCATATCGCATATTAGCTTATTGCGTGCTCTCAACTTAGTGTTCTAGATGCACTTCCACAGTTATTAATTGAGAGCTTTCGATGCCTGTATGTACCATTTTTGCATTGATATGATGATACTTCTATGCCCAGGGAAGTCGAGAAATTTTACAACCCGAAAAATTCCTAGACCGAACCGGGAATCGAACCCAGCCACCTCCAGCATGGTCTTGCTTTGTAGCTGCTCCTTTATCGACTGAGCTAAGGGAGGCCCCTTCCATCATTAAGCTGGTCCTATGAAAACTACTGTTGCTTAAAATGGCGATACGGTGGTTGTTTTCAGCATCAATTCCGAGAACGGAAAATAAACAAAGTGTCATGCTTTCACGTTAGTCACTCACCCTGTATCCTTTGAGATTTTCAACCACGCAAGCCAGCAACGCGTCCCGCCCGATGGTGGCCGTAATGTTCGGAATGGGATCCGCGAATCGGGGAAAATTTGCTTCTGGAATTAGAGAGTGAAAGAAATGAAAAAAACACACGTTGTGATAAACGCAAAAAAAAAAACTCTAAACGATGCTAAAAAAATTCGAATCATGCCTGTGGGCTCGTGTCTGTGTGCGTCTGTCAATATGTGCAAATAGGATTGAGTTGGTACAAAGCGAATGGGCGCTTCGGTGGAGAAGCAGATTATTTAATTTGAAAATGGGTTCCTGGATGGCGTTCGGCATGGTTCGCGTTTTTTGTTTCCATCCGAATCTGAAATATCCATCAGTAATGTGTAATATAACACACACAAAAAAAAAGAGTAGAAAATTATAAACCGGTCTAAAAGGTGCCATCCAGCGACCCACATCAAAAAGCTCTCGCATACACATTCGCGTGTTTGTCTTCATTTTGGAAAATGGCGTTTTACCAACTGACGGCGAAAAACACAAACAAAAGACCGGGAGGAAAATTGGCTCCTGTACGTACCGTTATTGAGCTCAGGTTGGCTTTCGTGCGTGCTCGTGTGTTTCGCTGAAACGAGATGAAAGGGAAAGGAAATATGAGATGAATTTAATTACCACGCTCGGAAGCATATTATCATGTTTGTATGATGGGAACGTGTGCGCCTTGATTAATTGTCCCCGGAAGAAGTAAATTTAATGTTTAAAGCTCAATCACATAGGGGAATTTACGTATTCTCGGCAACCTAAGCAGCGACCTTCTTTCTATAGCCTTTTTCTCTAAGGAACGCACACATATGCAGTATTGGTTTGTTTACAATCTTTTACTGCCAGCTGCTCTAACAATTTCAGTCGAAATAATTGTCAAAAACTGTTTTCAAACGCTTTTACAAAGCTCCAATCTTCTCTAGTGAGAGCTAGTATTGTCGGCAACCAGTTTTTCTTCGGCAACCGTTCCATTTGAACTGCATGTAAATCTGCTGTTCTATTATCGGCAACTCGAAATCAGCTACAATTTGTAGTGCGTGTGTTGCATTTCAAGAAAACCTTGCTAGATTGCTTTTTCTCAGTGGTAAAAATATAGTCAAATTGAAGCTGAAAGCATAAAGAATCGTTTGCATGCATTCAGCTAAGTGTTTTCGTAAGAAAATCCAGTGAAAATAGTGTTTCAATTTGTGTTGCCGAAAATAGTCTGTCATGCCGAAGCCGTCATTTCCCCTAGATTAAAATTTGCAGAATCTTATAACTCTTTCCCAAAGCCCTCAGCAGAGACCTATAGATCAAGTTCAAATTGGCAATGCATTATATCTCTACCTTCGCTTCGCCGAATCTCAAGTGAATTTCAATTCGATTGCCGAAACCGGAACATTCTTCCGGAATATATTTTCTGCTGAATTTTGCAACCAACATGAAAGAGAGGCAACAATGTTCGAATCGGAAACGGGTCAAAAAAGCTAGCATATGCAAACGAAGCTATACTCTCAACTTAGCAAACAGCGAATATAAAAAAGGAACATCTGTACCATCCTCGAGAGGGGTGCAAAAAAGAGGAACAGCTTCAAAATACGCGCGCCAGGGAGATGTATGGCCAAACTATTCATGAGAACCAGTCGAGCATTTTTTTTCGCTTTCGGTGCCGGAATCTGCACATCAAGAAGTGGTTGTTTTTAGGGCTGTCTATTTGCAAATTTACTGTTTGGGGAGTATTTCCATCAGCTCTAGGGAAAGTGTGGACTTGGATAGGAACAAATCGATCGGGTTTGGATGAATAATTTGGTGCATCAGAAAATTAGCTAGGTGAGGGTTTTATTTCGGAGAAGAATGTACTTTCGAATCTGGGTGCTGGCAACATCCAAAAACTGAGAAATCATCTCTCATGGATTTATCATACTTTCTTAACCCTTTATTTGTTCTTAATTCAAATTAAATTTCATTTAATTTTAATCCAGGTGCTTCAGTTTTTACAGCTACTTACTAGCCTTAATTGTTATGATATATATCAAAGTATTTTTAAATTTCTCCTGCAATGATAATTCAGTATTTTGAACAGGTTTTCTAAACCTGCATGTCAGTAAAACAATTGGCATCTTAAAACTAAAAACTAACACTCAATCTTATCTAAGTTTAAAGGAATTAATCATTGCAATTAAGGATTGCAACGATTTTTGCCAGAAATTATTAATTATTTTGTTGGACATTTGTTTTAAAGTCTCAACATTTGGAATTATATGTTTTTTTTTTTTTTATTAATTACTTTATTTGTACAGGCTCAATCGAATAAACTTTACAGAGCCGAGTTATCATTTTTGTTACACATTATTAATTTCTTATATTTAAAGTTAAAGGAGCTGGACCGGATACTCGCGGTTGTCTCGAGGTTAGTGGGGATTTACAATTTTTTTTTAATGGGAAAAGGGAGAGGGAGGTTTGAAATGTGGTTTACGATACAAATATTTAATTAATCCTAAAACATAATTTCTATCCATCTTGAAAACAAACATAAAAAAACCCACACGTACAAAATACAAACTAAACACAAGGTCAATAAAACTTACAATCTAATGTTAATATTCTTAAAGTAAACATATATGAGTTTCATAAACTCCAGATTGCGTCTAGCCAAAATATCCCGAACTGGAACATTAGGTTGTCTACCTCGAGCCCGAAGGGAATCGCATAGCTCAGATCTGACTCCACGATGCTCAGCACAAGACCAAATAATGTGATCTGTGTCCTGGTAACCTTGCCCACCACAGAGATTGCTGTCCTTCAGCCCAACACGGAACAAGTGAGCGTTTAACGAATAGTGATTGGACATGAGGCGAGACATCAGACGAATGAAGTCTCGACCCACATCCAACCCCTTGAACCAAGGACTCTTCGACACCTTAGGGATGATCGAATATAGCCATCGTCCCAAACTCCCTTCACTCCACTTATTCTGCCAGCTGACGAGTGTTTGTTGACGATAAATGAAGAAAAATTCATCGTGGGCGATTTGTTGATCGTAAATATCGCCTTGCATAGCGCCCACCTTTGCAAGCGAGTCCGCCTTCTTATTGCCCGGAATCGAGCAATGAGATGGGACCCATGCAAAGGTGATGACAAAAGATCTTAAAGATAAAGCACTTAGAAGCTCTCGTATTTTCATGAGAAAATACGAGGAGTGCTTTACCAGCCTCATGGAGCGAATAGCCTCGACAGAACTGAGACTATCCGTAAAAATAAAATAATGATCTGGTGCAAGTGAGGCGATCGTTTCTAGCGTATAATGTATTGCCGCCAGTTCCGCAACATATACGGAACAAGGAGCATGAAGCATTCGAGAGGCGCTATGAAATTCGTTATAAATACTAAAACCAGCGGACGCCTCTATTAGTGATCCATCTGTGAAGAACGATCTTGCGGAATCAACTTGGCCAAACTTTGCAGCGAAAATTGACGGAGCAAACATGGAACGATGATGCTCTGGGATTCCGCGAATCTCTTGCGTCATGGATAAATCAAAATGAACAGGACTGTCGAAGTCGGAGAAGCAAACACGATAGGGATTATGCTGCGAAGGGCTGACATCCTGAGTTATGTACACGTAGTACAATGACATAAAACGAGTTTGAGGGTTCAGCTCAAGAAGCTTTCCAAAGTTTTCGATTACCAGTGGGTTCATAACTTCGCAACGGGTGAGGAGCCTGAGGGACAATTCCGAGAACCGATCCGATAGTGGCAACATGCCCGCCAACACTTCTAGACTCATCGTATGAGTCGAGTGCATGCATCCTAACGCGATACGAAGACAACGATACTGGATACGTTCCAGTTTGATGATGTGAGTTTTAGCCGCCAACTGGAAGCAAAAACTACCGTACTCCAAAACCGATAAAATCGTTGTCCGGTACAACGTTAGAAGATCTTGCGGATGGGCTCCCCACCACGTTCCGGTAATTGTTCGGAGAAAATTAATCCTTTGTTGGCATTTTCGTCTCAGATACTCAATGTGGGATCTCCAGGTGCATTTTGAATCGAACCAGACCCCAAGATATTTGAAGGACATAGAATGAGTGATCGGCTTACCCAAAAGTTGAAGCTTCGGTTGTGCTGGGCTATGCTTCCTAGAAAAAACGACTAACTCAGTTTTCTCCGTGGAGAATTCGATACCTAGCTGGATATCCCAAGTAGACAAATTGTCTAAGGTATCCTGTAAGGGTCCTTGCAGGTCGGCCTCTCTGGGCCCTGTCATAGACACTACTCCGTCATCTGCAAGTTGTCTCAACGTGCAGTTGTCACTTAGACAATTGTCAATTTCTCTGACGTAGAAATTATACAAAAGGGGGCTTAAACATGAGCCCTGGGGGAGACCCATGTAACTAAATCGAGAAGCTGTAGAGTTTCCATGAGAAAAGCTCATATGTTTCTCTGACAGCAAATTGTACAAAAAGTTATTAATTAATGAAGAAAGGCCACATGCGTGGAGTTTGTCTGAAAGGACTTCAACCGATACTGAATCAAAAGCCCCCTTAATATCCAAGAAGACAGAAGCCATTTGCTCTTTTTTAGCAAAAGCCAACTGAATTTCAGCGGAAAGCAACGCGAGACAGTCGTTCGTTCCCTTGCCCCTACGGAATCCAAATTGAGTATCTGAGAGTAGGTGGTTCGTCTCAACCCATTTGTCCAAGCGAAAAAGGATCATTTTCTCCAACAATTTTCGAATGCACGATAACATCGCGATGAGACGATACGAGTTATGATCTGAAGCCGGTTTTCCAGGCTTTTTAATTGCTATAACTCTCACTTGCCTCCAATCATCCGGAACAATATTGAGCTCTAGGAACTGACAAAACAAGTCCAACATGCGCCTCTTAGCGACGTCTGGGAGGTTCTTCAACAAGTTGAACTTGATTCTATCAGCCCCCGGAGCCGAATTGCCACACGAAAGGAGCGCGAGTGAGAGTTCCAGCATTGAAAAAGGCTGGCTGATCTCGTCTACAGAATTCGTCGTTTCGCGAGGAATCATCCGTGCCGGCACGGAATCAGGACATACTTTTCGTGCGAACTTAAGAATCCAACGATCTGAGTACTCCTCTCTCTCGTTGTTCGAAGACCGGTTACGCATCCTTCGCGCCGCGTTCCAAAGCGTATTCATCGACGTTTCGCGCGATAAACCGTCCACGAATTGCCGCCAGTATCCGCGTTTCTTGGCTTTGATGAGGCTCTTGAGTTCGCGTTCAAGAGCCGAGTACGCTTCGAAATACACGGGTGTTCCACGTTTCCGGAAAAGCTTAAACGCGTCGGACTTTTTACGATAAACCTCAGTGCATTGGTGGTCCCACCAAGGGGAAGGAGGTTTCCTACGCAAAGACGTTCCTGGAACCGGCCGAGTTTGAGCTCGAAGCGCGCTGTCCAAGATCAGATTGGAGAGGAAGTTATATTCCTCCAACGGTGGAAGCCCTTCTACCGACGACACGGCTTCGTCTATCGCGGTCTTGAACGTTGTCCAATCGATATTACGGGTGAGGTCGTACGTGACGTTAACGGATTCCGACGGATTGAACCCACTGGCAATCGAAATTTTGA